ATTCATATTTGGCACATACATCATACATATCAGTGTGTTTCATAATCAGATCAAAGATGGCTTAATAACGGCTGTTCTTATTTTGGCCATATTACTATGACACGAAACATGTGTTTTGATGTAAATAAACAATCTGTTGTATATGCCACTTGAAACTCAAGTTTCAAGGACATGCTCGCGACAACCCCTGCGCTTTAATATGACGAGCACAAAGAGAACTTAACGGGGACTGTGTCATTTTCAATGACTTGTTTAGGCTAATTCGGTTAAAGAAAGAAATCAAACGCAAAATCTTACTGGACAACTGTATTTCCATGTGGACAACCATGTTTTTAGAGTGGTTTCCCTACTGGGCAACCAGGTATTTTTTTTGTCAACTTTTCAATCTCCTGCTACAGTATATTCTTTATTATTCACCTATCATACTTTACTTGGAATAGTAGTTTTTAAGGCTTTTCCTTTACTTTATGGGCTTCCAATATTGTATTGTGTGGTGCATTTACTTGACATTCATCAATTTTTTTATTTTTTATTTTTTACATGAATTTTCTTATTATTAAACAGAAAACAGAGTCAAGAGTCATGATGGCAGCTTTGAAACGCATACTTCAAGTTCTCCAGAAACATCTCAGGAGCATGATACAAGTGGACCAGTGCCTGAAGAGAAGACATTTGATATCAATCAATTTTTCAGTTTGACTGACACTTTTCCAGGGCTGAATGATGTAAGTGATATTTTTAGCTTTGTCGAGCAGAGATTACATGCATCATATGAGTGGTTGTCTGTCGTCATCCGTGTCAACTTTTTACTTTTTAGACTTTTTCTTGAAAACTACAAATTCACTACGTTCAATTACCCTACATAGACTCCGGTCAATCAAAATGACTATATTGAACTGTAGGCAACCCATAGGCCACCATAATCTCCCAAGTTGAAACCCTCATAGCAAATGTCACCTTTGTTTGGAATGTGTTTGGGGCTCCAGGTTTTGCCATGAGGATGTGTACGCCGGGTACCAGGTTTGCCTCTAAGATTCAGGGCAGGACAAAATGCATCCCTCACAGGTCGGGTAGACATAAGAGGTGCCTTTGGACACGCCCTTGCTCATTTTCTTAAGGTAAAAAAAGGAGGTTCGGCGATATCTTATTCTGCGGGTGCAACCTCAGTTGGCCCTCAGTCTTCTCTTCGTAACGATTGATGCAGGGGAATCATTAAGCTTAATGACCCGATGTACATACCCCCACCCTCGATCTTAAAGCAATTGCTCTCTGTAGCTTCGTCGCTTCCAGGATCACAGGCATCGGGATCCAAAGCAAAACTGTCTGCACAGCTCCTCTGGTCCAGCAGAGTGTTAGACGTAGCGGAGGGGCACACAGATGGTGTTGATGCGCGAACATTGCTCCTCTGCGGAAGAGTCTAATCCTAAGAAGCCAGGGTGGGGCAATCTCAGCAGAGACTGGTGCAAGACCTCGTGCCCCCGGCTGGTTCCCTCGGTTCCTTCCCCTGACCTGGTACCACAAACTTTGTCCAGCGGGCAAGGGTGGATGGCCACGTTCCCCCAGCTTGGATTACTGACCCAGGCCGGACGACCACATGGATCCATGCCATTAGGTGATAGAACAGTCTCAGTGACAGATTTGTTCAAAGAAGTGTCTTAAAAAAAAAAAAACGTCAGCGAGAAAAAAATCTTCGGACAATCCCGGGTCTCACCTATGTCTTCATGCAGAACTGTTTCAGCTTTTGATTTGGGTCTAGCGTCCTTGGGCAATGGCCAATCAGCAGTATGCTTTGGTTATGGGGACGACACTGCCAAGGTAAGACACCATTTTTCATCGGCCTTAACTAGGTGGTAATCATTTTGCTCGGAACCCACCACCTCTCGGTGTCTGACTCTGCCTATGGTTCAAAATAGTCATTTTGACTGAACATGAGTCTATGGTGGGTAATTGAACATAGTGAATTTAGACAGATGGTTTTTCAACGCGGCACTACAGGTAGACCTCTTTCAGATTTGTTCATTTCGTGATGATATTTTCAATTTTGGTAAAGTGATATTTTTGATTCTATGTTATTATGCATACATATTATACCTCATGTGAACCAATCTCAGATTTTGTGATATTTTCAATTTACTAATGGAAATGTACATTGCTAACAGTGGAGCTATCTCAGCCGAGAGGCTGCTTGTTATATAATTTGGGTTTCTATTTTTTCCACTACTTTTGGCATATCAGTATGCAGTAATTTGCCATTTGACTTACAAAAGTATGTAATCTGCCACACCAAATAATTTTACGGTATTTCTTGCCCTAGGCTGTTACTCCAGATATTGCAGATATATCACAAACAAGCCGCTTCAGTCAGTGGTTTTCAACTAGTGGTGTGAGAAGTCACAACAGTAGCTGCAGCGGAAGTCGAAGGTCAACACCCAATGAAGAACTGGTATTTTTACATGGTAATTACAAAAAAAATTTTATCTAGTAACCGCACCTCCAATTCCGGCTTCGGGGTTAAAGAGTTCTTAATAAAAATTGAAAACTTGAAAAGTACCTATTACTAACAGCACCCCCAATTCAACAAGACCGTGACTGACTTCATTGTTTCAACCAGCTGTTCCAAAACGGCA